CCCCCATGCGACCTGGACCCTGAACAAATGAAGCTACTTACTGCGAGCAACAAGGACACCCGGGCCTGTTCTGCCCGAGCCGGTCCCCGTCCTCCAGCAGGAAGACTGAGTCACGGGAGCCCCGTTTAGCCCCAGCCCGAGCCTTTCGTTTTCCCCCGCGAGCTCCAGCAAGGCGACTCTCTGTGGCTTCTGTTTCTGGCCCTGCTTTTCCTGAAGGCAACAGCTCCTGGAAAGGATTATCTCTCCGCGGCGCGTCATGTTGGTGAGCCGATGGGCTGAGTGCTAATACCTCTTGACACGGAACATATGTGGCAGCCGAAAGTGCTCGGGGAAGAGGGGTGGCAGAGGGCCTCCCAGAGCTCACACTTGGAAATAAATTTAGAAGGCGCTACACACAAACTCCCACTCCCGAATGTGCCACTCTCCTTAATTTCCTGTGGCGGGAACATGGCTCTTTTCGTTGTGTTTTATTGTAAGATCAACTCTTGAGTCGACGGGAGTAGCTACAAAGAGGATGTCTCCACCTCCTACCGCAAGCATCACGTGACTCCCACGGTCCCTTCGTGAGAGAGCACTGGGTGTCAGGGTGACATAATTGCTGGGAGCAGTCTTTGGACTGTCTCAGCATGGGTCCAAATAGTAAGCTACCACTCACTGGTTGTGGAACTTTGGTCAAAGTTATGGAAGCCCTCTGAGTCCCGCAAGTGTCGCCTGTCAAAGGGAGACAGTATTTACCTGGCAGGACTGTTGGGAGGTTAAACAAATTGATATTTGTAGCGTGCTTGGCAAGTGCCTGGCCACGTGCAGTGTGCAGCACACGTTACCCATTGGGTCACGTGGCCCCTGCTGTTCACCTGCTCTGATCATCTCTTTTTATTTCTATGACTTCCGAGGCTCCTTTGAAAGGCGGATCTGGGGACAGGTGGCCCCAAGATAGTTGGATCTGCTTCTGGGGAAATATTTATGAACACATATGCCCCCAACCACCTGACTCACTGGATCCAACAGAAGATGAGACTGAGGTCTAGTTGGCTTGTCAAAGTTTTCCGTTTGAGGACCAGGCAGCCTCTTGGATGAGGCAACCTGGAACATCCCACCTTTTGTGCTATTGCTATTGCCTCTGTCTCATCATTGTCTTCTGGCCTGCCCAGAATACAGTAAAAATTCAGGGGAGGCGAGCACAGAGCCAAGCATACCAGCTCCCACATCAGTATTTAATAGTCATCGATCTCTGAAGGTAGAAGCCCTGCCTTGTATAGGTAGGTACAAGCCACGCAGGAAAGGAGCTGTCAGCTTGTACCAGCATAAAGTTTGGTGAGCATCCCAAGCTGAGACTCCTTCCCAAGAGTCAGCAGGACTTCTGATGCTCCACACTCCCAAGAGGCAAACCAAGGTCTTCCAGACCCAGCCAGACCTTTGTCTACCTAAAGTAAGCTCAGGTACATCCTAAGGCCAGCAAAAATGGCCACTCCCCAGAGAGCAAACATGGAAAAGAGACCATGGATTTTACGTAATGGATAAGAGCCGGAGCTTCACTTACTGCCGGGGGACCTTGGTCAAGTCATCACATCTCCGAACCTCAGTTTCCTCATCGGAATAATGAAGATAATCACAGCGCACAAGATAATGCATGGAAAGTGCTTTGTAAAATGCTTGGCACAGGCCTACACACAAAGATGTCATCTCCAGAGCGGATGCTGCGTTCTTATCATCTCACACAGCAGTTACCCCGCAGCTCCTCAAAGGGGGTGCACCAAGACACATCAAGCATCCTAGAGTCTCTGCTACAAAGAGAGAGAACTGGTCCTCTGGTGAAAGAGGGAGGTCTGTGTTCAGGACTTCTTATAGAATTGCTGAGTCCCATCTCATATAGTTGTTTATTCCCTGTGTGCTCCACAATACAGCGCTTTTTAAATTCCCCTCCAACTCTTGTCCACGTACCAGACAGCTCAGAGCTCCTTTCATGGAAGCCAGGCTGAGCGAGTAGCTGCCAACCTTCCTCCCCAGGGAGAGAGGGCAGAGGGACAGGCTGTTAGATCTTGCTGATGCTGGCAATCAGTGAGGCTGTCCTCGGCATCTAATTCTGGATAAGCAGCTTAATTTTATCGCTTCCTGCACCTACACGTCTCGCCCGAGGGGGCCAAGCATCCTGGGAGAGAATGAGTGACCAGGAGGCTCTGCCCTTTCGCATCTTCTTTTGCTCCAAGCTTTACAAGCTCTGTACCTTGAGCTATCTTTGCCTAGAAATTCTGCCAGCCTGGGTTGTTTTGATGCCTTATGTCTTTGAAACAACATCCCATGCTGAGAGATCTAGGAGCAGTAGGAAACAAAGAAGGATCTGGATAAGAAACAGGAGCTTGGCTGGGTCTGATGAGTGAGGAGGGTTGCCAAGGTGGCACTCAGTTTGGAAGTCCTTTCAAGGCAGGCCAACATTCTCTCTCCCCATGGCCATCCTCCTTGTCCGGTGTCTAACACTCCCCAGAACCAAGCACTACAACTGGGCTCACAAATCTGCACTGGGGTCTCAAATCTAAATGCCTACTCAGGCAGGGAAGGTCAAATAAACGTATGAAGGGTGCTCAGTAGGGAGTAGTGAGGACTGTGGCAAACAGAGAGCCTAAGTCCTATCTAACGAGGGAAGCCACCGCATGGCTGCCTCGGTGGACCCACTGTTGCCCAAGTGTCAGAATTGTGTTTTTTAAGAGAAAAATCTAGGGGGAGGGATATATGAAATTTAAAACACAGGAAGGGCTGAATGAACAGATTTGCATGTGGCATGTTGCAGTATGTCGTAAAGAGGTTCTATCCTCAGACCATCAGACAGGTACCTCTGACCTGGTCTGTACTGAATAATTCAACATTTCCTAGTGAGATGCTACATTCAGAAGGCCCCGAATATCAAGGTTTGGAACAAATCATTTATCATGCACGTTTTTTTTGGTAGACGAACCCAAGCCTCTGTGTGTGTATGTGTGTGCGTGTGTGTGTGCGTGCGCGTGTGTGTGTTTCGCTTGGCCCTGCGGGGTCCTCTAACTTTTCTCCCAGTTTCTCAGCTCCATGGTATATTTCTTTGAATGCCCCCCTACTCCCCCCCACCCAAATAGACTGACCTTGACTGTGATTTAATACACAAAGCAGGGGAAATTCTTGGGGGAAATGTTGCAAAGAGGATAGGCAGGTGGGCGGGGTAGATAAGACATTCACAAAGAAGAAACAGTCCTCTAGAGACCTGAATTATCCTAACCATTTCCAGCAAGCGTCCTGGAAACGTGTGTGTGCCCTTGAACAAGCCCGCCACGCCCAGCCTCAGTTTCCTCACCTGTAACGTGTGAGGCTGGCTCTGCCCATCTGCCCAGATTATTGTGAGAATAATGGGATGTCAGGAAGGCACTCTGGAAAGCGTCGGACGTATTCTAGCAGCGTGAGCTTTTTCTCTGTTGTGTGGCAGGAGGACATCTGTGTGAACCCTTGGGACCTTGCCCGTTATTAGCCAGATTAAACAGGCAGTTCTTCTTCCACTTGTCACTGCCACAGCTGCCTGCCTGCACGCGGGGGGCACGGGGGACTGCAGCAAGGGAGAGGTGGCACGGATGATCCAGCGCCACGGGCAGCCCCACTGTTGCCAGCTGGTCCCCCTGCATCCCGGTGTCGAGTGACTCCCGAGCTGAGCCAGGTGGTCACACGTGGCGGGGGTCGTTCCCCACCAGGGAAGCTCTGAGCCAGGCTTGAGCATAAACATTTTTAATTCAACATCTGTGCTGGTTGGTTTAGTTCCTCCTTCATCCCACTTTCATTGAAGGAGGGGGTAAGAAATGATTTTGCACCGGTTTCAAAATCAGGAGCACAACTGGTCAGTCTAAGATCAGCAAAGGAAATTCTTAGGACCTAAGTTTGCTTGACTTGCCCAACCGCCCCTGGAAAAGCCTCTGCAACCCTTACAGCGTTCCTCTCTGCTAGACCAGAGGGCAGCTTCCTGTGACGCTTTTTTAGGGGGAGGGGTGGGGGAGGGTCTGGAGAGCTAAAAACACAGCAGAATGGGTGCCCTGTGGGCAGGAAGGGATTGGCGTCACCTTAGAGGAGACCCATGTGGAGTTGGGTCTTCATAAGGAATAAGCACTAAGAATAAACAGAGAAAAAACAAATAGTTGTCATTTATGCCGTGATGGGGCTTTTAGTCTCGTGCCAGAAGCAAATGCTGAACAAATATCCTAAGATTGCAAATCGAGATGAGTGGCCGCAGGGAGACAGCAGGGGTGTGAGAGGCGACAACAGGGCCTGTCGATGAGGCAGTCAGGGTGGGCCTCTCCGAGGAGGTGGCGTGCAGTGGGGGAACAGCCGGCCTTGCTGGAATAGGGTGAGGGGGGTGCTCAGAGGACCTGGGCAGAGGCACTCACGGTGCGTTTGAGGAACGAAAAAGCAGTGGTGGGACTGAAGGGGAGTGACTGGGGAAGTGGGGTTAGGATGAGGTTGGGGAAAAGGCAGAGGTCAAATCACACGTGCCTACACACGGATGCCTTTTTCCCCCGGAGGATGACCTGTAACTTTCATCAGATTTCCAACGAGATCAGTGGTGCAAAAGAACGCCGAGGAATTTTCTGAATCAAATGGGCCCTAGTCAATCAACCAGAGCTTTCAAACCGTGATGCCAGATGATTGTTTTTCCTTTTCAGTTCCTGAAAGCTCTGAATTCGAAAGCAGACAGTGAAGCACATGGGGTGGCCCATTTCAGGTCTTCCTTCAAGGTCGTGGGTGCAAGGGTGATGTCGGTGTGTGGTGCAGTGTCATGGCGACTGTGTGTGCGAGTGCCCAGCTACGTTTGGAGTTTCAGTAGCCACAGGAGTGCAGCCCCCTCTCTTTTGTGTTCCATGGCAAGAGCTCAGGGCTGCAGGGATGAGTGACAGGAGCATTGCAGCCCGTCCCCTGCAGGTGCAGCCCTCACCCCGTGGGTCAGCGGGTCAGCACCAGGATGAGCGAGTCACCCGCCTCTCCTCTGCTTGCAGCCTCCTCAATGCCAACAAGATCAACTGCCTGCGGGTGAACACCTTTCAGGACCTGCAGGACCTCACCTTGCTCTCCCTGTATGACAACAAGCTGCAGACCATCAGCAAGGGGCTCTTTGCCCCTCTGCAGTCCATCCAGACTCTGTGAGTATGCTGCCCGGAGTGCCAGCGGGTGCCAGGGCAGCTGGAGACCCCAAACGGAGACCCCATCAGGGACAGCGCCCAAATAAAGGCAGAAGGAGGGCATCCAGGAGGCGTTCTAGAGCCTGCAGTGAGGCTAGAATAATAAAAATAGTAATAGCTTACCTGCACTGAGCGCTTGCACAGTGCTCGACACTGTGCAGAGTGCTTGCCCTGTCTGTTTAATAAAACCCTTAAGCTCAACAACAACCCTATTTGGTAGAAGCTGTTATTATCCCCAGTTTATATATGAGGCAACCAAGGCACAGAAAGGTTAGGTAACTTACTCAAGGTCACACAGCTAGTAAGGAGCAGGATTTGAATCCAGACAGAGGCACTCCTGAGCCACACTCGTAACCACCATGGCCACTGTATTCCGAGCAGCTCCGTCCCTGCTGATGCCCCATTCCTGCCGATCCAAAATCCCCCCTCCAGCCTGCAAAACCCAGCCTCTGATACGGGCACTCGGAATATTTCATCTCTCTCCCTGGGATGTATTTCCTCACTTCCAAGCACTGCAGATGTTCATAAATATTTCAGTTAAATATATGACATCTGAGTACAGATCTCAGCCCAATTTCTGATGGTTCCAGCCTTAGGCTTAGATCCCAGCCCCAGGCCTGCCATGAGCCTAGGGGCTTCTGGAGACCCTGCAAGTCACCTGGCACTTACTGCCCCTGTAGCCAGAGACAGGAACCAGTAGGCAGTCAGAGCAGCTGCTGTGTAGTGAGCACCCACCACGTGCCAAGCCCCGTGTTCGGTGCTCTGCGGAGTGTTTCTTACTCAGCCAGGGAGGCCCACGGTGCTCTCATGATGACGAGGCTAATTGCAACAATGCCACTACTATATATGGAACACCCACCATATGCCAGGCGCCGTGCCAGCTGCTTTATGTGCCTGGTGTCACTGAGCTTGGAGAAATAAAATGCATTCTACCCGAAGTGCAAACTCGAAGCCCGCACCTTGCTTGGCCCGTCAGAATTGGCGTGGGCGAGAAGAGAGGCAGTGGGTGGTGGATGCTGCCCTACGTGGGAAGGGCTGGGAGACAGATTCTCCAGACCAGATGCCAGCTGCATCTGTGACTGTCTTTTGCAGACAGCAGGCCTCAGGCCCTCTCCTGGAGTCCTGTCTGAAAGCAGGGCCCGCCAGGCCCCCTGGGGCGATGGGGGGAGGGGAGGGGGGACCCAGCAACGGGTCGCCAGGACCCAGCAGCACCAGGAAGGGTGGTGGTGGAGCGAGGCACCGTGGGTCACTCCTGATTAACAGTCCCATCCCTCTCGCAGCCACTTAGCCCAAAACCCGTTTGTGTGCGACTGCCACTTGAAGTGGCTGGCGGACTACCTCCAGGACAACCCCATCGAGACAAGCGGGGCCCGCTGCAGCAGCCCGCGCCGGCTCGCCAACAAGCGCATCAGCCAGATCAAGAGCAAGAAGTTCCGCTGCTCAGGTAATCAGGTTACCGGGCCGGGCCCGCTTTGTGGCTCGGAATACAGCAGCCTCGGAGAGGCCGGTAATCCAATCTGGAGGACAGCGAGCACTGTAATGGCTCCTGCAAATTAAATTGGGGAAATGCAGTTAGCCCTGCACAAAACCAATTACCTGATGGATTTAAAATAAAACACAAACACACACACACACACACACACACACACACACAAAATAAAGGCATGGGGGAGGGGCGGCGGTTGCAGGGGACAGGGAACCCAGGCGGCAGTGTGTCTCCAGAGCGAGGTAGAAGCAGGGTGAGGGGGGGGCGGCTTTTGCACATGTGCTCTTTAGAGCTAAGATTTATTTTTTTTAAGTTTCTAAAACATACTCCAGAGAGAACAGATAGGGAAGTAAATATAGCCCAGGCCGGGGTGCAGATGGTATGTGATCCTGGGGACCTCCCCACTAGGATGTGGCAAAGACGATCAATCACTGTGTATTATGGGTTTCACATGTTCACGAAAAACACTTTTGCCAGCCACCTCTGCCGCCCCAGACAGCTACGTTCTGGGCGTGGAGAGAACAGTGAGAGCTGTGCCAGAGCAGAAACAAAGCCTTGTTTTCCTGTGCCCAAGCTCTGCCTAGAACCTTCCTCCCGCCCCCTGCACCCAGGAAGGACATGTGGGTGAACGGCAGGGGAATGCTCAGCCCATCTTGGAACGAGAAGTAGCCCTCCTTGACCCGACAGCTAGATGAGCAGGCAGTTAAAAATGACTGTCATTTGTGTCCTTTTCTACTGGAAGAAATCACCAAGCCTCATTGTGTTCCCAGTGGCGAGAGATTGATAGCATGAAGTGCTGAGACGGGTTGGGGCCAACCTCACAATCTGTGTGTCAGCAACAACAGGTCTTCTGCCCCTGCCCCAGAGCCTGCGCTGCAAGCGAGTTTTCCCAGGGACAGTGCCAGCCCGTGGGACGGTCACCGGGAGAGGGCTGGTGGACAGGTTTCTTCCTGCAATGTGTTCTTGTCCTTTAGGTCAGACTCTTTAGTCTGTGTCTCTAGAATGATAAACTTGAGATACTTCATTTTTTTTTTAACAGAAGCAAATCCCTCAAGAGAGCTTGGCAATAACACAGGGACTTTGTGGCACTATGGGGAGTTGGTGCCAATTTGCCTTCCCCAGAATAGCGATATCAATTATGAGAGCAATTTTGCACTTGTGATGAGCGCTGTGCTGGGCACTTCTAGTCTGATTTGCTCCTTCTAGTAGTCCTGTGAGCTGGGCAGGAGAGGTCCCCGAGCTACAGCAGAGGAAGCCGGAGGCTCAGAGGTGAAGGGGCACCCCGGGGTCACAGGCTAGCAGACAGTGGAGGTAGGACTGGACCCCAGGCCCAGCTTACTCCTCCATACCACGCCACATGTAGGAGAGAAGGAGTATTTGGGAAGGAGTCGTACCTGTTTGAACGACTTCGCTCCCAGATCACATGGCCCCACCCCCTCCACTGTTTCCTTAGGTTCCTTTCTGGGCCTGGCAGCATCTCTGGGAAGAAAATCTCCTCCCAGCCCAGACCTGTCACCTGAGACACTACCGTCCTTTCCCAGGGCCTTTCCCCGTGTCTGGTGCCAGCCTTGTTCCCCCCTTCCTACTGCTGTTTGGCCAGGGCTGAGTTAATTCGCTCTGCCGAGCCGTGGTGCCCAAGAAGAGGGGCAGTGAGAGTCAGAGGAGGGCAGGCAGGATACGCCTGCCAGCCCCCATCCTTGGGTCTTGTAAGTGTCCTGTCAATATCTTGCACCCCAGGTTGTGCCAAGGCCCTGGACCGCAGAGCAGAGATGGAGTCAGCCTGGGGCCCAAGGACCGGCATCTCCTGGGAATACAATCTGGGTGGTTGCCTGGGAACGGCTGTGGGCTGGGATCAGGGCTGGCAGTGTAGAAAGAACTAAATAGGAGAAAGAGGAAATAGAAAGAGGACCTAGGAAACAATAGAACTTAGTTCTAACTCTGGCTCTGCCACTACCTACCTACCTGTCTACACACCTACCTCTGCATTTGCAGGATCCTGGCTGCTTTTATGTGGAGTAGGAGTGGCTGGAAATTAAAAACACAGACGGGGGAAGGGGCCAGGTTCTTGGATTGACCCTGTCTAAAGAACTTTAATAATAATACTGAGCGGAAAGATTATCCCTATAAAGGAAGAGACGTTTGGAGCTGTGCTGAGCCTGGCAGGGAGCACTCGCCATGCTTCTGTTCTGTGTGGCTGAGAGAGCTGCTGCCGAGCTCAAAGGCCTTGGCTTTGAGAGACGCCAGGGCCCAGGCCTGCCTTGGCCTTGGGGCGATACCAGAACCACAGATCTAAAGCTGTGTGCTTCCAGGAAGCTCCAGAAGAGAGAAGGGGGGCAGGTGACACAGACTGGATTTGACAGATAATAACTCTGCATTTTACTTTCCCCTAAAAGCGCCCCCATTGAAAAGGCAGCTGATGTAATTAGGAGCCAATTTGAGCGCTGCTGCAGCAACGCGCAAAGCCGCTGCTTAGGCAGGGCGTCTGCCGCCCCAGCTGCCTGGTGTCTGCCGCCCTCCCTCAGCCGCCTCCGCCGCCCCGGGCAGCAGATCAGTTTAGGGCTGGATGCTGCCCACTGGGGAAATCTGACCATCAGCTGGAGTCCTCCTGAAAAGGTGCCATCTGGCTGCCTGGGCTCCCCAGGCCGGTCCCTGGGGAGCACGTGGCAGTTGCGGGGAGCTGTCTGCCTCCCCTCGTGCCTCCCCGCTTTGCGAGAGAAGAAACGCTCTTGTTAGAGAGCCCAGAGGGTGGTGATGCAATGTGTCCAAAGATGGCAGACAGCAAGACAGCGCTCAGGGAATTACAGAATTTGGGGGGCCTCAGAGGTCACCCAGCTTCCTCTGGAGATAAAGAAACTGGGGGCCCGCACAGCAGAGAAGTCTTATCTAAGGCATAGGTATTATTTTCAGGGCAATATCCGAAACCCAGGACTTCTGACATACTGTGAAGATTCTTGATAATCTGTCCCCTGTCCCCCACCCCTGCCTGGTCCCTCCGTTTCCTTTTGTAGAAGGAAAGCAAGGATAAGGAAAATGACAGCTTGGGGCTTGGCGGGCCAGAGGAGGGTGTCAAGGGAGAGGGACAAATTCCCCCTGCTGTGTACTGAGGTGCTGATCGGACTCAAATACCAAGTCCCAGAACCAGAGCGTTCACAGAGCCCCGTGTGTCTGGGTGTCAAAGTGGAGCTGAGTGCAGATGACGTGGCTGGCTCTCGTGCAAGGGCTGAGGGGCCAGGAGACACCAGCCCCAGCGCTGTGGCCCAGCTCTTCCCAACCGGGCCACCGCTGCAGGCAGCCTGAGCACTGTCAAGATGCTGAGACCATCTTGTCAACGGACTCAGTCCCAAAAACACATTGTGGAGGAATGGTGACCCTGGCCCTCATGTCAGAGGTCAGGCGGGGAGGGTCTCAGTCACCTGGCCCTGGCTGTAGTCTCTTCGAGGTGCACACCTCTGCAGCTTGCTGCCACGTGGGAGGAAGTCCCAAGTCAGCAGGTGCATGAAAACCGCTCCGATCTGTCACAACTGGGACTATAAAAAACAGGGCACCCTCACCCTCACCTGGGCCCTTGGCATCCCAGACAGTGGTTATCAATCAGTCCCACCCACTCCCATGATTCCCAGCCGAGGAAGAGATCAGGAAATCAAGAAAGACCCTAAAATTAGGTTTCTTCCCCTCGCATGAATCACTTGCCTTCCCCTTCCTTCCTTCCTTCAGTCTGAAAAAGGCCACTCACTGAGAGGCGCTGGCCACCATCTCTGCAAAAGTCGTGGCTCCCAGCCCCACGCCCGAGGCCTTTTTGGCTGCGCTTCTCTTTCTCTGGCTAGGGAGACGTATTTTCCTTTGACACCACACTCCTCCTCTCCTCCACCTTAAATGATCTGGGGTGAACGCGAGCCAGAGGGTTTCTGGGGACCCTGATAGAGATTGAGGAGACGCCTGAATGATGAAATGTCACAAGGGGGCTTTTTTCCAAAAAGAGCATCGCAGCTTTGCTAGACCCCTGGGGACTGGGGACTGTCTCTGTTTAAGGGCAGAGAGGAATGGACTCTGAGGGAACCACTCGGCCGTGGGGGCTGGCCCTACACCACAAAGCAGCAGACGATGCTTTGCTGAGTTTGATGTCTTGTCAGACCCACTGGTGTGACTGGAGGGAGTTTGGAGGCTCAGTTCAGGCCTGAGATGTGACCGCAGACATCTGAGTGTCCTTGCATTCCCTCGGGAAGGATCCCTTCTGTCCTGACGCTCCTGAGTATGGGTGTCCGATGGTCTCCCACCTGTTCTCCTCCCCTCCTCCTGTGTCTCCCCTGGGGCGGGGCGCGAGGGCAGGGGGCTCCTGTCTTCGGAAGCGTTCCAGTGGAACCCCACTCCTGGTACTAATCACGCTCAGCGGGGGCCTGCTCCGGTTTCCGCTTCTCCACGCTGCTTCCTCTGAGCGCGCCTGTCCTCTCTCTGACGCTGCTTCCTGACCTTGACTCTGACCGGTCGCCGCGGGGCTTTCCTTTGTGCTTGATCTAACCATGTGGTGGAACGATGGAAACGGAACATGGTTCTGTCAAGCACCGCGGAAAGCACCGCGCTCTCCTGCAGCATGGCCCGCCACCGCCGCCACCGCTGGACACCTCTCCTCTGCTCTGGAGCACCGCAGCCCAGCACCTGCCGGCCCCGCCTCTCCCAGTCTCGACTCGCCAAGGGCAGGAGGGTGGGAGCCGAGAAGGACTCAGAGGAGGGTGAAATGGGTGTGGAGAAGCACGCTGGGGCCGAGCTAAGATCTGCATCCACTTCTCCTGCCCAAAACGGAGCTGCCCTCCCCCAGTTCTAGCCCGGATGCCAGACAAGGAGTAACAGCTAGCTCCGAGCTCAGCAGATCTGTGCATCTTCTTCCGTTGGAAGGGAACAAGCCTCCCCAAGTCGTGTCCCCCTTGTTGCATGGGAGGGTCCCAGCCCAAGGCCCTTTCCCCCAGTGGTAGCTGACCCAGAGGGGACTCCATACCTCTTGTGAGCCCCACCACCCTTGCTGGTGTCCACTTCATTTGGAAGGAATGTGAGCATGAGAATGGATGAAACTAGCGTGAGTCCCAGACTTAGGACCTGGCCTGAGGCTCCCTCTGAACCTGACCCTCACTTCTCACGAAAACTTTGTCCCCGAACCCCACGAGGCCAAAAGCCCAGTCTGTCTCCTTGATCTTGAAAGCATAGTTAACACGGGGGTGCTGGGGGGGACGGGGCGGGGGACTGCGCGAAGCCTGCCGTCTCGGACAATAAAGAGAGGGATCTTGGTGCCTCTTATTGTGCTTGTTTCATGATAAATCCTAGATCCAGGGAAACTAGAAGATTGTGTTGCTGACTCCTGCCCGGGAGTCTGTGTCCTGCCCCCTGAGAGAGCCGAGGTGGGAACCACAGCCTGGCTGAGAACTAGAAGCTGGGCTGTGAGCTCCCGCCACGAGGTGTGACTCTCTGTCCCCACTCCCTCAGATTGCCCCTCAGAGCCGAGCCAGCCACTGCCGGGCAAGGGGGCATCTGTTTGCCTCTCCCAAATTTTGTTAACATATGTTGAGTGCTTGTCATACAGGCCAGACACTGAACTGTTTCACATCAGCACCTTGTTTAATTTTCACATCATTCTAGGTCCCATTTTACAGATGAGGATATTGAGACCCAGAAGGGTTAACTGATTCACCCAGGATCACCTGACTCCACAGTGGCTGTGCTCTCCTGCTAGAACACCCAGCCTTCCCAGCTCTGGACAGTGCCAGTGCCAGGGCCTTGAATTAGAACATTTTTTAAATCTTGAGTTGATAGGGAGTTGAAATTTTTTTTAATACTCCCTTTCAAATAACTTGAGCAAGAGAGAGAAAAAGCACTATTCAAATGGCAGTTCCCCGCCAGGATCAACATTCCAAGATCCCGTTTGCACAGAGCAAATCCTCAGCCTGGAGAAATTCCCTTTCCCGCCTCACAGAGGGGGGCGTTCTGAGTGCCCCAGCCTGCGGGGGCCAGGCCTTTGGTTGTGGGGCCTCCCTGGTCCTGCGGCAGCAGGCTGTGACTCGGTGGCACCAGACGCCAGCCGTGGGCATGTCCCTCTGCTTTGAGGCAGATGGCGTAGCTCTGGTAACAGACTCGGATGGGGACAGCTCACTAGGAAGCGTCCTGCCCAACCGGTCCCCAGACTCCCAGTGAAACAGTGCTTTCCAGGCACTGCCGGCTGGTGCCCATCCTTGCTCAGAGTGGATGCGGTGTGCCCGCCCAAGTCCCCTAGATTCCCTCCATCACATGTGACTCTTTGCTTGGTCACATCACGTTCTTTCCAAGCTGACGGGCCCCGACAGGCCTTCACATTCCCCCCCGTTCCTCTTTCTGCTTCTTCCCTCACTTCCGTCCCACCCATCTTAGGGATATTGGGAGTAGAGAGAGGAGCTCTGGACACAGGAGTTGGCAGGTTCGTGCTGATCAGATAATGATGAATTTGTGACTTCCAGTCAACAGACTGGTTGCCCAAAGGATGACACAAAATGCAGACTGCTAATGGCAGCAGCCATCCTGGGCCCGGCGTTGGCCTCTGACCCCAACCCAGCCAAGTCCATCCAAAGAAGGAGAGCTTTGGCCCCCTGCCTGCCCCAAGCCCTGACCACACACCTGTGACATACGTTCCTCTCGGGAGTGGCCGCAGGGCAGGGGTTTATAATAAAGTCGTATTGCTGTGGATTTGCACCTCCTACCCCCACCCCGTCTATTAAAGCCTGTCTGTGATCACATCCCGAGTGTCGTTGTTCTGGGCTGCCTGCGACAGAGGAGGAGGGCTCCAGGGGCAGGAGCAGGCGAAATGCCAGGTGACATCAACTCTTCCGAGGCCTGTCTCAGCCAGGGCTGAGTTTTATGGTCCTTCAAATCCTCCAGGGTCCCTCCTGTCTGAACTCGTCCCAAAGAGAAGCAACAGCCGCCTATTACAGTTGGTCTTCTCCTACTAAGTATTTCTGGCAGTGACAAATATGCATAGAGATTGAAATTGACTTTTAAAGCTCTGGAAAAGTTAAAAATACTTTTGGGTAGTTATGAGCATTAGGCATAACAAATGGCTCCGAGAAACCCTGGGTAGTTTCGGTAATGAAATATGAAGTGATGGCGGTGGCATTTCGGGCTGGCTCCAACTGGGGAACGAACTTTTTCGGTTATGTACGTACGCCGTTATTAACATTTCTGGCTCCCACTCGCATAAAATACCACATTCCGACCCCCTCGTTATTACAAACCAGGGCAATAACAAAAACAGCAGGGAGAGAAATATTGGAAAGAACACATTAGTCCATCAAATCTAATTGCAAAATCATTTCATTAAAATGGGTCAGTGGCTCCATTGCAGAGGTCCGCCAGTTATAATCTAACTATACTACCGAGAGCGATTCCTGCTAACTACAGACTGCTCTCACCTTGATTAAAACGAAAATGCACTTAATAGGCGGCTGTCCCTAGCCACAGCCCAGCCGGTGCACGCCTTCGGGCTCACCGCGTTGAAGAGCAGAGTGTGCCCCCTCCTGTCTTTCTGCCTTCCATCAGCAGTCAGAGCTCTTCCGCTTTGCAAGGGTCCCGTTATACGCACGGACTGAAGGAAAGAATCCACGTGTATGTGCGAAATGCCCCTCCGTGCCTTCGCTGGGCAGGTCCGCTGGTAGGGAACGGGAGCGGGTAGCCACCCAGCAGCATTTGCAAAGTGAAACTCGCCCAGGACTCGGCATGCTTATGTGTCTGGAGGAAAATGGCCCAGGTCAGAGTTATTCAGCGGGCAGTAGCTCACAAGCCGAGGCCAGAGATTTGCATGATACGTGGGACCAGGAAACCACGTGCATAACTGTGGGGCTGCGTGCACAGATTCTGCTCGCTCAAGCCTGAGGGTGGAGGAGGAGGTGAAGGAGGGGCTGGAGGGAGCAGAGAGGGAAAGGAAGGCAGGACCAGCCTTTGGACTCCCTGTCTTAAGCGTAGCTGGGACCCAACAAGTTCATTTCCAGTCAGGCACGTCCACAGGGAGACAATCTGAGGGGTGAGCAGCTAAGAGGGTGGGAGAGATCTGCTTCCTTCCTCGCCACGGGCCACTGCAAGAAAACATCCAATTCAATCCACCTCCACCAAGTCTGGCTTTATGGTCATTACAGGGACTGGGATAAAGGTTTGGGGAAAGCACATCCACAGTAAGGTGTAGCCTTAATCACGTGGTTCCTGGCAGCAGCCTGCCTGGGTTCATCCCTCTGCCCCGACTGGGTGCCCTGCGGGACTCAGTTTTCATATCTGTAAAGTGGAGTTATCATAACTTCAGAGATTGCGAGGATTAGATGGTATCACCCCTTTGAAGTTGGAAGAATACATGTTCAGTGACAGGCAGCTATTACCGCCAGCTACACGGGTGTTTTAGTGGCCCCCGAGAGGCCGAGCAAATCACAGGCATCCGTACATCCCATGACCCTTTCCAGAGGTGCTCACCCCCGCGACCTTACTCGCATCTTCACGGTAGCCCCTGCGAGACAGGGGCAGCTGTTTGATTCCCATTTTCCATGTGGACAGACTGAGGCTGGTAAGTGGCAAGGCCTGGACAGACCCGCGCCCTCTGCTGCTACAAACCCACCTGCCGGTGCCCGCGTCGCTGCTGACCCGGCAAGGTCACCAGGGTGATCACCAGGGTAGCGCTCCCGTTCTCTGAGACACGCCCCAAACACGTGCAGGACACTGGGGCGCTGGTGACACCCCACCCCGCGTTGGACGGGTGTGGACCGGGTGCTCGCTTCGTGCCCAGTAGTGTGCCAGTGAAGTGTTGGGGGCGAGGGCATGGGGGAGACCCGGCCCGCCGATGAGCCCGGGTGTCACAGGAGAACCAGAGCTCCAATTACCTCCGGAGTGATTCCACGGCCACGTGGGCGTCTGCCTGGGTGCCAGGAGGTCACTCCTGATCACTAAAGCGCCCCCACCCCCACCCCTGGGCATCTCTCTGAGACGTCAGATCACTGGTCCTATTACCATTATTGTGCAACCTCGAGAGAAATTCAATTCCAAAAAAGTAAATCTTAGCTCCCACTTTTAGCAGACCTTTCCCCGTGGTTAAACAGAACTTGCTAAGGCAGAGGCCAAATCTGACCCTCAAGATACATTTTGTCTGTCTTCACAGTGTTTTAAATTTTATTACCAATATTGTTTAAGCATCTGGCTTCTCTTATTGAAAAAAAAAAAAAGGAATATCAGGAAACTGTGAGCCAAATTCCCAAGCATTAAAGCCGTGGGCTCCTGTTTCCCGAGTCTTCAACCCTTGTGACTGTCTTGCCCAGTGTCGAAGTCAGGCGTGGATGGTCATTTATTGCCGCACGCTTGGCCGCCTTCGCTCCTGCTGTTCTCTCCTGGGGCCTGGAGACAGCTGGGTCTGCGAGCCCTTCCCACACCTATTGCTCTGCTCTGGAGTAGCCCCCATCAAAGTCCCATCAAAATCTCGTCGTCTGGATTTTCATGAACATTTACAGGGCCCGTGGATGATAGGCGTCGTGAAATCGTAGGCTGAATTCTGTACACACGTGCCTGGGAGCGTTTCTGCAAGGAGAATATCCATCACTTTCATCATCTCAAAAAGATGATGAAAACTTTTTTTCATCTCAAAAAGATCTGTGACCCACAGCAGTGTGAGAGCCCACAGATCTCGAGCTGGGTTTCCCTGAGGACAGACAGTGATGAGGGACATAGACCCAGTGGGAGGCCGCGGGCCGGGGACAGGGAGAGCACCGGCAAGGTGGCCAAACGGTGAACGCCATGCCGTGTCTGTCACTGGACCCCCCCCCAGCACCCCCAGAGCCCAATTTGTCAGGCCCTTCTTGCCTCCCCACCTGCACCCCCCGCAACCTCCAGCCCTGTTCAGGACTCGGGTGACGCTGACGCCCCCTCTTTGGCCCTGCCCAGGCTCCGAGGATTACCGCAGCAGGTTCAGCAGCGAGTGCTTCATGGACCTCGTGTGCCCCGAGAAGTGCCGCTGCGAGGGCACCGTCGTGGACTGCTCCAACCAGAAGCTGGCCCGAATCCCAAGCCACCTCCCCGAATATGTCACCGACCTGTAAGTCCAGCCCCCGTGTGAACTCCCCACTCCTCCCCCACACGCACACCTGGTCCCTCTGAGCCAGCCCTGGCTGGGTCTCCTGGAGGTGACCCCCTCCTGGCTCTATCACCTGTGCATTTCCTGTCTTCTACGTACTGGTCTGAGGACAGACACCCAGGCACCCTCCATGGACAGCCTGTTCGCAGGCAGTTCGTGCGTTCAGCTACGGTGTTCTCTGACGCCCACTGTGCCGGGCCACCGGTTTCTACAATGAGCAAAGAGAGAGTCCCTGCAGCCTTATGGGCTTACAGTATAGCCAGAAAGATGTATGCTAAATAAACAGTGTATAAGTGAGAAAAGAACTAGAATGATTAAATATATCTGAACCTCCATTAGCCATGCCAATAAAGGGACATGTTGGTTTATCAAAAAAGGAGAGCTAAGCGTTTATAGCCTAGTGAAGGGTGAGGCAGCCTGGGGGCTGACACCTGTCCTCCAGTCCTCCTGACATTGGGCAAGTTGTTTATCAGATCGAAGACTCAGTTTCCTAGCTGTGCAATGGAGGCTATCATGCCTAGCTCCCAGGGTGGTTGGGAGATTGAGAAAGAGAAGCAACACAAAATTCATCGTGAGCCCTGACACAGAGTAGCCCTGGATGAATGGTGGTGTTCCCCTTATCATTACGTTCTCTGACCTCACAAGTGGCGGTAGGACGCAGCGAGCATGCTTTCCCTGCCCCTCCGCTCACCCTGAGCACACGTGAATCTCGGCGTGCAGCCCTGAGCTGGCCCTGGTAGAGGAGTGTCAGAAGAGCTGAGGGGCTTGCAGGATTGGGAGGCCCGGGAAACCTTGGGGATTTTAGGTTGCCACTGGTACTCCCACAAATGAGGGCAGATCCATGATAATTGAGTGAGTGCTAAAATACTCGCGCCCACGCAGGATATTCAAAAAGTCCATTGCACCCTAGTCAAAGGGCTTCCTCTAGGAGGAAGAGGGAGGCTGATTTCTCTCTATTTCCACCCATTCACATACACTCCTCTCCCTGCCATGCCTGGGGCAGACACTGAGGTCTGTGGACCTTCTCTCAGCGTAGGTCTGGTGGCAGCTCAGCTGAAGCCAGCGGCAGGGGGGAGTCTGTGGGGATGGCAAGTAGAGGACAACTAAGGAGGAGCCTTGTCCCCAGCTAACCCCCCACCTCATCCTCTTGCTTCCCATACAGGCGACTGAACGACAACGAGATATCTGTTCTAGAAGCCACGGGTATCTTCAAGAAGTTGCCCAACCTGCGGAAAATGTAAGTCAACTGCAGGAACTTGGCCGCAGCCTCTGCTCTCTGGCTGTGTGGGGTGCGTGTTCCAGACTAGAGGAACTAGGGGCACAGGCGTCCCCTCACCCTCTGCTCCAGCCCTGTCATGCTCCCCCTGAGCCCCGCCACGGCCTCTGCTGGGAAGCAGGATGTGTGGACGCAGATGAAAAGGGAACGGTCCTGTTTAGTCAGATGTTCTGCAGAGCAAGCGCCCCACACCACCCTGGCCCCCACCCATGTCCCCTCTGCCCAGCCCCCATCCAGCGTCTACCCCAGGGAGCCGTGGCAGGGACTCAGGTAGGGACCAGCAATGGGCACGGGTATCTGGGGTACATGTCATTTGGCAATTTTTGTGAGGTGATGGTTTAAATGCCTAATTTCAGATGGAATCAAAGGCCTCCAGCTCAGCGAGGCACAGGAGAGAGTAAATGCCAGCAGCTTCTCAGCGTGTTTTAGTCTGGGCGCCCTGGGGCTGGCCAGAGCCTGGGCTAGGCAAAGGGCCCACCTGCTTATACCGGCGTCTCCACTGCCAGGGCTGCCTAGCGCGCTGACCCTCCCCTGCCTAGAGTTCGGGCCGAGTCACACAGATGACAGGAATAATGTCCGTGCACCGTTAGAATCCGTGTCCCGGGCCGGGGCCAAGCTCCCTGCCTCACCCGCTGGCTCAGTGAGTCCCCACTCACCTGGCTGGGGCTGGCTTCACGGCCCCTCTGTGCAGGTGAGGAAGCCAGGGCCCAGAGAGGTCCGTGACTGCCCTGAGACCACACAGCTAATACGAGTGGCATTCAGACATGGGTGCCCCTGCAGTCACACTCCTGAGAGCTTATCCTTCCCTCCTCTTCCCTTCCCAGGCTCCCCAGCAGAGGTGCTGGTGCAGAGCCGGGGCTCCTATCCACCTGCCCCGCAGGGCACCCTTCGACCCCCTCGTTCCTGTCACCCCGTGCTCCATGTTCCCTGGCCCCAGAGTTTGGGTCTGCCTGGGGAGCAAGGGAAATACGGTCCATCCTCTATCGGTGGCCTACTCGCTAAAACCTGTATACCTCCAAAATCGACAGTCTAGGGGCTTTCGCAGTCATTCTTGGGCATGCGCAGAACAGTGAAAAAAGTGAGTGCCCTGCACGTGCGTTCCCGGCTGAGGCTGAACAGGGCGATTCTCTGCCTTCTTGTTGCAGCTCCCATGCTGTAAACAGGTGTCCCTCTCGTGGCTTATTTAGTGCCATGTATTTTGCACGGTTGTGCTTTTTGTTGGTGATTTCTCTGTTTAAAATGGGCCCAAGCACAGCGCTGAAGTTCTGTCTAGCGACCCTAGGCACAAGAAGGCCCTTTGCCTTATGGATAAAGTGTGTGCAGTAGACGAGCTTCATTCAGGCATGAGTTATGGAGCTGTTTGCTATTGAGTTTAATGTTAGTGTATCAGCAATATATACTACATAAGGTATGTTTGGTCAGAAACACATAAAAAGCAAGGTTATGTATTGATGGATCGGTTGATGAAAATATTGCGACCAGAGGCTCGTGGGGCCCTAACCCTGCATTGCCCCTGGGAGCAATGGTTCAGTGTTCGCTAATTCAGTGTTCCCAGCCATCTCGGAGACAGTAACCGAGAATAATGACAATGAACTGTACCTCCTTACTCTTTTCTTGTTCTTCCCACCCTACCCATCGGTCCCCTGCAGGCAAGGAGGACAGAGACCCTCTGGGCCCTGTGTAGCATCTGGATGTCACTGGTGCTACCCAGGCGTCCTCCCTTCCTCCCTGCTTGCAGCCACCACCTTGCCCAGGGCCCCGGTGGCTGTGGGTGGCTGAAAGTGGTGGGGAGCACCCTAAGGGGACAGCACAGAGAGGGGCGCACGTGGACCCTGGTGGGGATCGTAGCTGTCGCCGTACTCCTGCGACTGCTGGCTTCAGGGACCCAGCACAAACACCACACACCACCTCCCGGGGTTGTCCTGTTTAATTCAAACCAGAGAAACGCACACTTTGTTTTTCACAGAGGACAGAAACCTACATGCCTGTGGACGCGGGGCAGGTGTCGGAATGGGCCAGGCTGGCTGAGTGCATGTTTGCCTTGTAAACAGGAGCGGGCAGTCTTTGCTTCCACGGCAAAATAGGAACTCTCTCATTCTAAGTGAAACTCAAGCACTTTGGGTCTATCTTCCATCTTCCCAGTTTTGATAGGGACATGTACAGAGAACTATTTTTGTACGCTCAGGAAAGCAGTAGCACAAACACATAAGCTGCAGCCAACTCCCAGCCTCAGCGACCGAGCCACAAAAGGAAGTCGTGGGGACTGTGGCAACACGTGGCCCCAGAGCTCATCAAGAGGGGCAGAAGTCACTCGGCTCGTCCCTGTGTTTGTCATGCTGGAATAAAGGTCACAGCTGCCAAATATCCCCAATTCTTAAGAGCAGCCAGAAATCCAGAGGTGGGGGAAACGGGCAGACAGACCTCGTTCCTTCCAAGTTCAGCTTTACCCTCCCAGCTGTGTGACCTCAGGACTGTCCTTAGCCTTTCTGAGCCTCAGTTTCATCACTTACATGAATCCACCTTCCCTGTGAGTCATGATGAGGATCAGAAGTAAGGGTGAGCAAATAAAGACGAAAGAGTTGGCCTCTCCAGACCCTGTAGCTGCACAAAAAAAGAAAAAAAGACGTGGTCTCTGGCCGTGGGACTGGGCAGAGAGGGTGCAGGAGGACAGGAGAGGGCCCCCGGGTTGAGTGCCCCCAAGTGGCAGTTTATATATTGCAAACAGGGGTGCACACTCAGACCCTTTCAGGAGCCAGGAGTAGCTCAATGTGGGAGGCAGCTGGGTGCAAAGCCACACGAATGACAGTAATGGTGAGCGGCTAACACAGGCTGAACCTCTGTGCCAGACAGTGCCAATACTAGTCCATTTAGCCCTCGCCAGGAGCAAGAAAAAAAGCTCTGAGGCTGCTTTATTTTACAAATGAGGGAGCTCAAACACGGACAGTAACTTTCAAAAGTCAAGTGGCACAGCCAGAAGGGAGACAGTGCAGGTTCACTGGCAGATGCGCATGCCCCCTGTGTATGCATGTGTATGTGTGTGTGTGTGTGTGTGTGTGTACATAAACCATACATGCACTAGCCATCCCACCACATGTCCCAGTGGGGAAATCCAGTCCTCAAGGCCACCGGCTGCAACCACTGATTTAAAATAACTTGACAGCAACTCTTTTTTGTCAAGTAAAGATGGTCCCTTGTGCCCTGGGACCCGTCCCCACCCCTGCGCCTCCATGGCGGTGGTGGGTCAGTCCGGATCTCTGCCCAGCAGAGTGGCTAAAACCAACAGCGCCCAGGCCTGGGCCTGCCAAGCCTCTTCAAGACTGTGGGGCCAGGGCCCTAAGGCTACCTGGTCTTGAACCTGCCCTTACTGGGCTGCTGGGCAAGGGAGCGTGAACAGAGCAGGTGCTTAGACTCCGCTCCACTTTTCTGAACCTCTGCTCTTACCCGTGGAACTGTAATAACGAAGTTAATTAACCCTCTCCTCTTCGGGACTTCCACGAGTGTCACTTGAGCTAAGGGATGCACACTAAAGCATGCACTGGGTTACTGCAAAGGGTTATTAGCACTATGGCAACTCGATGCAGCATTTCAAATGATGTCGTATTCAGAACACCTGTGCAACTTCTCTCGGGTGAACTTCTAGGTGGGTTCTTATGCTTAGCAAGAATCTCCACCGGAGGCTGAACACTGGTAGTCCTCTGGCCACAGTCAGGTGCACACAGCTGGATTGACTGGTAGTGTTTTAATAATAAGGGTACCCTTAATAAAAAGGGTGTTTTTAATAATAATTAGCTGCCCACTTTAAAAAATTAAGAGTTTTCACCAAGGTGGACGGATTGCTCAAGGTCAGGAGTTCACAACCAGCCTGAGCAAGAGTGAGACCCCCGTCTCTACTATAAATAGAAATTAATTGGCCAACTAATATATGTAGAAAAAATTAGCCAGGCATGGTGGTGCATGCCTGTAGTCCCAGCTACTCGGGAGGCTGAGGCAGTAGGATTGCTTGAGTCCAGGAGATTGAGGTTGCTGTGAGCTAGGCTGACGCCATGGCACTCACTCTAGCCTGGGCAACAAAGCGAGACTCTGTCTCAAAAAAAAGAAAAAAATTAAGAGTTTTCACACACAACAGAAAACAAATCCAGATTTCTGGCGTATTTTGGAGCATCAAATGACTGGCAGAACTGCTCCCACATTCCCACAAGGCTCCAGTGGAGATAGGCTGAGGAGCAGCTGCCCCCTTGGATGGGACATGTGTTTGCTGGTCACCTTGGTCCCCACTGGGTCTGCTTCTGGTCACCACTAAGTCACTTTCCTGTGGACACCTGAACTTGCAACTGCAGTTTGAAACAGAATTTCCACAAGAAGGAGGGAGAGGCCCCGGAGAGGGTGGACAGGACCTCCCCATCCTGACCATGTGCAGAGCACGGCCCAGTCGTGACCCAGTGGCCCCCACTTCCAGAACGATCCACGTAGCTCTCGCCCACTGCATTTCCATCTGTGAGGGGCTCTTCCCTGTTGCCAGAGTTATTGGGGGGGAGTCCTGCAACCCTGGAGGGACATGAACCTGGGAGAGGCTTGCTTTGTGGACCTCGGGCGTTCCAGAGGTAGCCGGAGGAGCCCCCAGCCTGCAGAGTGTCGGGCTTTCTGGGGAAGAGCGAGAGCGGGCTCTGTACCGCACACCTGGCCACCCGCAGAGGCAGCGGGGCCGGGACCCCTCTGCACCCACCCCGGGCCTGGGGTGGGAGTTTCCGCAGCTGGTCTCTTAGCTGTGAGACTGCCCCATCCTCACCAGAGTCAAGGCTGTGGCGCTGCAGTTTTCCTTCAGGCAGGTCTGCAGAGACAGAGATGGAGAGAGCCCCCCAACCCCGCTGGGGGCTCTTCTGGTTTTGGGGTTTCCCGATCTGGGCATCATCAGGAAGATACTCCCCTGAGAATGAACGAGCTCTTATCCCACCTCTGTGCGCTCGTTTCACTTCTGGAGTGCTTGCCCAAGCTGCCTCCCCATCCTCTAGCCAGTGCCCTGATGCATGGAGAGAGAGCAGCAGCCGGCTCTTCTGGAAAATTCTACCCTCCCCCTTTTACTCTCCTTCTGTTTTCCATTCTTGCAGGGTGAGGAAATCCAATTCACAACCCGTACAGTAATGTGATGTTAATTTTGCTCATTTAAAGAAACAGATGTCAGGAAATGGGAACCCTCCCACTTCATAGCTGCTCTAACTCATCTTCACTGCGCGTCCCTTGTACTTTACTACCCCAAGAAGCCCGACTCTCGGGAGTGAGATCCTGCTCCTGCGGCACTCGCGTGAGTTATAGCTACTGGGAGAGCCTTTATCTCTCTCCCATGTCTGATTTGGGGGTAATTTGCAGTCTCCCCAGCGCGTCCGCGTCATTCCTGGGTTATCCCAGACCAGGCTGCCCGGATTTGTAAGGAAACTGGCTGCGTTTAAGGAGTGCAGGAGTGGAAGTCCAGTTCGGGAGACTCCCAACTCCTCCGGACCTCAGGAGAGGGATTTGGGGGGCATTTGCTCCCCCATTTTCTTGGCAGGATGGGAAGGAGAGAGAACAGGCGGACGACGGGCAGAGGGAGCAGGCCACACGAGACAGGGAACCAAGGCACTGACCGTCTCCTCCACACCCGCCCTGGAGCGCGGGCATTGCTGCCCCTTGGGGGCTCGGTGCCTCCCTGGGAAGGGGGAAAGGTGGCCTGCACTGCACAAATGCCCCCGTCTGTCACTTGCTCCAAGTCAGTCCCCAGGGAGTCTTCACCGTCTAGGGTTGGTATGGGTCAGCCCAGAGCTCATACTAGGGACATGGTAGGGTCCCAAGCAGGGCCCTGCCCCCCGGGGCCTCAGCACCCCCGACCCCACACACAGCGAAATGGAGCACGCGCTCTGTCTCTGTGCGCCTGCGCATCCTAACGCCGCCGTGGGCTCAGGCTCTGTCTCCACCTGCGAGATTTCCCCGAGCAGGCTGTTGGCGCAGGAGGCCACACTCTTCCTCAGCTTGTGCAAACACCATCACCTTCGGTTCGCCCACCCGGCCAGGGGGGCCCTTCCAGGCTTGGACATTTGGGTGGCCCATGGGAGCCCCTGCGCCCGCCCACCAGAGAGAACTGGGGACTCGCCGTGCTAATGGCTCCCGGGATCTACCTGTGATTCGGATCTCTCTCTCCGTCTCATTGGCCACCAGAGGGGAGGGCCTGCTGTCCACCCGCAGGGGCAGAATCAGAAAACGCAGTGCTGGGGCCTTGATGGCACCGAGCTCACGTTAACCAAATCCAGCCTCCCAATTCTTGAATTCTGCAGAGCATAATACGAGGGAGGGAGTATCCACATCACCAAAGGAATATTCACTTATAAAAGAAGTTGTTCAGTGGGTCACGTTTTGTGTGCCAGAAAACCTGGCTTAAAATCCCAGCTTTCTCAGCTGTGGGCAAGTTACTTAAATCTCTCTGAACCTCAATCCTTTCATCCATAAAATGGGACTGTAATGATAGCTGTCTGACGGGCATTCTTTTGAGAGTTTAATGTGATTGTGTTGGTCAAATCCCTGACCTGGTACCTGCTACACAGAATAAGTGTTCAGCAAGCAGTAACTAGAACGTCTCCATTTATTTATATCAGAGATTCTCAACTGGTCAGAGAGCTACAAGTTCCACAGATGCCCTGCTCCCAAGAAGTGGGGAGCACACTTTATGTTTTTCTCCTGTTTTCCTCTTGAGAATCACTGCTTGGTGAGAATATCTATTAAAGAGGGAAAATAAATTTGAGAATCACTATTTTAAATCTACCAGTCCCCCGGGGCATTGAAAAGATAATTACACAGAAAAAAATAAATAAATAAAATCCCATGCAGTCTGTTTCTTTTCTATTGATACATAGTAATGGTCCGTATTTATGGGGTACACGTGATATTTTGATACATGTGCACAATGTATAATGATCAATCAGTATTGATGATGTCCATTACTGCGAGCATTTATTATTTCTTTGTGTTGGGAACATTTCAAGTCTTTTCTTCTAGCTATTGTGAAATAACACAGTGTATTGTTGGTAACTGTAGTCGCCCTACTGTGCTACGGTACGCTAGAGCTTATTCCTTCTGTCTAATGGTAATTTGTACCCACTGATCAACCTCTCTTCATCCCCACCTGCTCACCCTTCCTGGCCTCTGTTAACTGTCCTTCTGTTCTCTACCCGCATGGCATCCACCTTGTTAGCTCCCATATGTGAGTGGGAACATGTGACATTTGTCTTTCTGTGCCTGGCTTATTTCACTGAACAGAATAACCTCCAGTTCCATCCATGTTGCTGCAAATGACAGGATCCCATCCTTTTCTACAGCTAAATATTGTTCCATTGTGCGTGCGCCATGTTTTCTTTATCCATTCGCCCGCTGCCCGTGCGGTCGGTTTCCCAAAGGCAGCCGTCCATGCTGTGTGGGGCTGGGGTCCCTGCTCCCCGGCACAGATGGAGACCAAATGTCCTGGCGCCCGAGACCAGGCTGCCCCCACAGTCCATCCGTCTCTGCACACTGGCCCTCTGCTCCCCTTGACTCTCCCCCGTTCTGGCCCTCCGTTCTAGAAACCTGAGTAACAACCGGATCAAGGAAGTGAGAGAGGGCGCCTTCGACGGAGCGGCCGGCGTGCAGGAGCTGATGCTGACAGGGAACCAGCTGGACACCGTGCACGGGCGCATGTTCCGGGGCCTCAGTGGCCTCAAGACCCTGTGAGCCCCCGGGAGGGACCCGGCCCACGGCCCAGAGGGAGTCGGGAGGGCAGGGAATTAGAGACGGACCGTGAAGGCTGCTGCGGCCCGGGCTCTGTGGTTGGCCTGGTGAATCCCTCCCTTCCCGGAGCCGGAGTCACCAGATGTCGCCCAGCCCCGGAAGGGATAGAACGTAGCACGCTGAGCACCCCAGACACACTGTCTCTCACACACACACCACTCAGTCACTCACTCTCATGTATGTGCATGCATTCTATTCACATATTATAACACACATGATATATATAGAATCATGCCAGAAACATGCTGAAGGAGACACATAGTCACATTTACCATAAACATAGACATACACACATTTCTAAAAATGACATGTACAATATGCATAAAAACACATGCACAAATAAGCATAGACATACAAGCACACACACACACACACAAGCTGATATCCACGCCACTTCTTGATTCTCTCTTCTCCTCCCAGAAATGTACATGCATACGCCAACAGCCATGCAATAAGCATGTGTGTGTATATATGTGCATGACACATGTTTCCAATAATAAAGCATGCACCAGCAAGAATGTACACACAGTTACATGCAGCTTCGATGGGGATCCAGGCCCTGCTGTCCCAGGACTAAGCTGAGCAGCGTGCCCAGGCTGGGCTTGGGCTTGGCAAATACATCCCGCCTACACGCCCCCAACACACACACAGGTCCCCCCCACTGCAGCACCGCTTGGGGACGGAAAGGGTAACGCCCGTGCTCCCTCATCACCCCTCCCTGTAGGATGCTCAGGAGTAACTTGATCAGCTGTGTGAGCAATGACACCTTTGCCGGCCTGAGTGCAGTGAGGCTACTCTCCCTCTATGACAATCGGATCACCACCATCACCCCTGGAGCATTCACCACGCTTGTGTCCCTGTCCACCATGTGAGTTCTCCCGGGCTACTGCCCACTCCCTCTGGGGTCCTCTCCTGCAGACCTCTCCCCTGCCAGCTCCTGCTGTCTTTGCTCAAGGTCATCTGTCTACTAGATAAGAATTTGCTGGGCTCCCTGTATGTGCCAGGCACCGTCTAGGTGCCAAGGCCACACAAACCTGGCCCCTCCTCCCTGGAGCTCACACCATGGGGAGTGACCACACGCAGGGGGTCCACGGTGAATTGCAACCCCAGCACGGGCTTTGTTGAGAAACACTAGCAATGTACCCTCAAAGGTAAGTGGGAGTCAGCTTGTTGAAAAAGTGGGAAGTACGATCCCTTCAGAGGGAAGAGCATGTGCAAAGGCCCTGTGTTTGGCTGGAGCAGAGCAAATAGGTGGGACTGAGCGGAGCTCACGTATGAGAGAGGGCGTGGTGTGAGGCAAGCTGGAGGGGAGGCCAGGCCAGGTCGCAGGACCGCCATGGCCACCTCCGTCTTAATAACCTTATAATGGTCTTAATAATAGTAACATAATCAGACAGGGGTTTTCAAAAGATGCCACCAAGGGGCATCAGAATCAGAGTTAGAACCCAGCTTTCTGGGCACCTAAGTGAGTGCTCCTGCCCGGATATTTCACTGAATTGGTAAGGGAAGCTGGGTGGAGTAATGGTTAAAACTCTAGAGCCAGATTTCCTGGGTTCAAATCCTGGCTGTACCTCTTGTTGGCTGTGACTTTGGAAAAGTTACTTCATCTCTTTGTGCTTCAGTTTTCCTTCTGCGTAACCCACCTCCCGGGATTGCCGTGAGGGTTGAGTCTGGTAATACTTGTGACGCGCACAGTGAGGGCCTGAGCTGTAGAAAGTTCTCGACACATGCGAATTTTGCAGCTGCTCAAAGGGCCTCCATGTGGCTCTGTTACCTTCGGTTGCGGCTTTATTGTCCCATTTCTTCCCTTCCCCCATGACCCTTTGGAAGACAGAAGGAAAAGGCTGTCGCCGCATCTCCTGTTGCTAGCTGCTGTCGTGCTGCCCTGCGCCCGTTGTGCTCGGAATAAAAGCCAAAGCCAGAGAGGGGCCTAAAGGCCCCATGTCATCTGGCCCCTCATGACCTGCCTGTCCCCTCCCTCCACTCATCCTGTGCTCCCGGCCCCTCCCATGTTGGAACTTTACACTCCCTGGCACGGCCCTCCTCCTGGCCTCCCTCCCTCTGCACGAGTGTCACCCACCCTAGCCCTGTCCCACCCTCCGTCGTCACCCCTACCCTCTCTAGCCCTCTGCTCCTAATTTGTACATAGCACTGACCACGTTCTAGTATACTGTATGGCTTACTTACTTATCATCAGTCATATATTGTCTGTGTCCCATCAGATAAGTTCCAGGAAAACAGGGCCATACAGCTGTTCTGTGCACTGCTTAGATCTGTGCTGGGAGCGTGCGGAGATGGCCAGTACGTAACTGTTGAATAAATGAATGAATCCAATGAATGAGGGACATCCGGCAGGCAGGGACAACAGGCTAGGAGCCAACACCAGTGGGCTGGTTCCTGGCAGCCTGCTCGGTGCCTCCACACTGGGAATCTGAGGACATATGAGATGCCCAGAGGGGCAGAGTCACAGAGCATTAAGGGAACCGGCTCTGACGCGTGGAGTAGGTTGTCCAACTTTGCCCGGCTGCTGAGTGTCAGAGCCGGATTCAAACCCCAGGGGACGACGCCCAAGCTCTCAATTTCCGCGTCCTACCACAGCCACTCGAGGGCTGTCTGCCACTCCTAAATGACCTCCCTAAGCTGGGCTCTCCTGTTTGTGGGACGAGGATGACGTTACCTCCTTCGTAGGGAGGTTGTGACAAGAACGTGCGAGCTAATGGATTTATAAGGTGCTTAGCGTGGTCCCGGGCCTGTAGTAAACACACAGGAGGTGATAGCTGCCCCCCTCCCCTCACCCCTGCCTCAGCCCGGTCATCGCATGCCGCAGACACGTACGAAGTGCCTGTGACCATGTGACGCCGGTCTCTGGATGTGCAGAGGCGGCCAGACCTGGGCCCCACCCTCGTGGAGCTCAGAGTCCAAGGTGCAAGGCAAGTATTCAACACGCACAGAAGCAAAGCATGACCCGCTCTGCTGGGTGCTGGGGAGGAAATGAAGGAGAATGAGCGAGAAGATGGGATGGGGACCCAGGGAAGGCCTCGTTGATGAGGTGTCACTAAAGCAGGAGGAGGAGCCGGCCAGCCGATACACAGAGACGCATTCCCAGCAGGGAGAACAGCTAGTGGGAAGGCTCTCAGTGAGAACTGGAGGCAGTTCACACCACTGGAGCTCAGCCAACGAGGAAGGGCATGGTGCAAGGCCAGGGTCATGTCCATAGGCGGCGGTGGAGGTCTGGAACCATCTCCCGCAGTAAGAGGGTAGAGGCCAGCCACTGAGAGAGGCCCTTCTCTCCTTCCAGAAACCTCCTGTCCAACCCCTTCAACTGCAACTGCCACCTGGCCTGGCTGGGCAAGTGGCTGAGGAAGAGGCGGATCGTCAGTGGGAACCCTAGGTGCCAGAAGCCGTTTTTCCTTAAGGAGATCCCCATCCAAGATGTGGCCATCCAGGACTTCACCTGCGACGGTGAGAAGGCCCAGGGTTCGGGGCGGTGGGGGATGGTCCCTGGGAGGGCGAAGAAGAGACAGGAGAGGAAGGTGCAGTTGGTGGCTGCAGGTCAGGACGCTGAGACCCGGCTCCACGCTGCTTTGGGCATGCAGCCGGAGCTCTGAAGGGCTCTGCAGATCTGGTGCTAGCCCACATGACTCCTTCATGCAAATATTTAAAAGGTGCCCTTTACTGAAGTCATTTTACTTACATCAGTCAGAAATCTGTCATAATGTATTGATTTCATTGAGACAAGGGACTTGCTCATTAAAACAAGACACTGCCATCTGTGAGAACACTGTTGTGCTAAATATGTCCACAGAGATGATATGGTGCCCCTTAGATGATACGGCAACCTTGTACAGTGCACAACCTACACAACCGTACGTGGGAACCCTGGCCTCAGTCTTCCTGTCTGCATCATGATGAGGCTTAGAGTATGTGCTCAAGAGAAACGTACTTCAAGGCCGGGCGCGGTGGCTCACGCCTGTAATCCTAGCTCTCTGGGAGGCCAAGGCGGGCGGATTGCTCGAGGTCGGGAGTTCGAAACCAGCCTGAGCAAGAGCGAGACCCCGTCTCTACTATAAATAGAAAGAAACTAATTGGCCAACTAATATATATAGAAAAAATTAGCCGGGCATGGTGGCTCATGCCTGTAGTCCCAGCTACTTGGGAGGCTGAGACAGAAGGATCGCTTGAGCCCAGGAGTTTGAGGTTGCTGTGAGCTAGGCTGACGCCACGGCACTCACTCTAGCCTAGGCAACAAAGCGAGACTCTGTCTCAAAAAAAAAAGAGAGAAACGTACTTCAAAAAGTCCCATCTCTGGCTAGCGGATATGAACACAGGGAGATCCGAAGCTTTGGGTCTCAGGATCCCAGAGGGCACATTCATTTGCATAGATTCAAGCCAGCAGAGTTCTTTACTTGATCAACTTTGGGTTATCATGAGATGAATTAACCAGTTTGCAGATTAACTGAAATTAAGACATAATGGGGCCCAGGGGCCCACTCACCACCGCAGAGAGACTGTGTCGTGGTGGGAGGGGAGAAGGAGAGGAGAGAGAGCAGGGAAGCCGGGGCTCTGCTCCCACTCCTGACCACGCCTTCAGTCAGTTTGGCTTATCCCTGCTCCAGTTAACAGCCATCTCTTCCCTGCGTATTGCCCTGGCCAGTCAAGTCTCGGTTGGCCTCCATAACACCTTCTGTCAAATGTGGTAGGAGGCAGGTGACAACCCCAGACGTGGACCCTCCCCCTCCAGCCACCCATGAGACCAGCGGGTACCTTACTCCTGGCTCTGGCTCCAGGTGGGGGCAGGGAGCGAGTGCCCACCTGCTGCTCCTGGTGGGGTTCGTTTACCCCCGGCCGCGCTCACCCTCTCCGGGGCTCTCCGCAGGCAACGACGAGAGCAGCTGCCAGCTGGGCCCGCGCTGCCCCGACCAGTGCACCTGCGTGGACACGGTGGTGCGCTGCAGCCACAGGGGCCTCCGCGCCCTGCCCAAAGGCATGCCCAGGGATGTGACCGAGCTGTGAGTACCCCGGCCCCTCCCAGCACCCTGTCATCTCACCGCCACCAGCACCCTCTGCGCTTCATTCCCGCATCTCAAGCAAGACCACCCTGGGGAAACCCCACCGGGTGAACGGACCCTAGCAAGACGGCAGCAGGGCCTTCGCCAAGATGACGACGGCCACTTAGTCTGATGCAGCGAGAGTGCAGGGTGACCGGGAGAACATCCCCCCCACGGGCACTGTGCTGCACAGAGCACTTCTAGGAACATGATCCTGTTCCACCTTAAAACAGCACGAGCGAGCATGTGGTCCCATTGCACAGATGAGGTCTCAGTTCTGAGTCCCGTTCATTCCTGGAACGGGATCTTTCTTATTGCACAGCCCGAGCCCCTGCCACTGAGTCCTCTGACCTTGTTCGTGCACTGGCAGCTCCCAGTTACGTGAAAAAGGTGCTGGTCTCTTCCTGAAGGGCTGGCTCTTACTATTGTGGAGAAAACCTATTTCTGTCCCCTAGAAAGCTCCAACGGATGGACAAGGCACAGTCCCGTAGTCAGGTGGGCCTCTCTGGAATGTACCAGGAGCGGTGCAAATGAGGCCAGAGGAGCATGACACGTTCATATAAGCAACACAAACCGTGTGCAAGCTTGCTTTCCTCCTTCCTTCAGTCATTCACTCGGCACATATTGACCAGGGGGCCTCGTGGGTCACGCTCTCTAACAATGGAGAGACAGTCGTGAGCAAAACCAGTGTGACCCCTACACTCCTGAGGCTCACAGTCCATTGGGAAAGGTAGACACGTGCTCTGTCCCCTGAGATGCACATGTGAGGTGACCACTGTGAAAAGTGCTACGAGAAAGAGGTGCAAGGTTGCTAGGACGTCCTCAAGTGAGAGGTCTGACGTGGACGTGAAGCTCAGAGAAAGCGTCTCTGGGGAAATGACCCTGGAGCTGCCATCCGAAGGCCGAGGAGCAGATATGAATGATGAGAAGGGAGGGAGGAGTGCCCCAGATGGAAGTTGCAAAGGCCTTGCGTGGGGCACAGGCAGAGCCCGAGTGACACTCACACGCCACCCCCACCCACACATGCCTCCCACTTACACTTTGACGCTCTCCCCCAGACCCAGGCACACCCTCTGGTCCACCTTAGCTCCTACACGTGAACCTTGGAGGTGTGGTGAGCTCAGGTCCAGACCTCCATAAAGTGAATATTGACATATAAAAGCGACATATATAAAGTGACAATTATGAATATTGTCATAAAGAGAGTCACACCAATTCTTTGGTTTCCCAGTGCATATAAAAGTATGTTTATACTGCACTGTAGTCTATTAAGTGTGCAATAGCATTATGCCCCAAAAAACAATGTACATACTTTAAAAACATTTTATTGCCAAAAAATGCAAATAAGCATCTGAGCCTTTGAGTTGTAATATTTTTTGCTGGTAGAGGTTCTTGCCTCGGTGTTGCCAGCTGATGACTGAGCAGGATGGTGGCCAACAAAGGTGTGAGTGACTGAGGCAGTTTCTTAAAATAAGACACAGCAATGTTTGGCACATTGATTGACTCTTCCTTTCACAGAAGATTGTTCTGTAGCATGTGATGCTCTTTGATAGCACTTTTCCCACAGTTGAATATCTTTCAAAGCTGGAGTCAGCCCTCTCAGACGCTGCCAATGCCTTAGTAACTGAGTTTATGGAATATTCTAGATCATTTTGTGTCATAGCAACAGTGTTCATGGCATTTTCACCAGGAGTAGATTTCATCTCAAGAAACCACTTTCTCTGCTCATCTGTAAGAAGCAACTCCTAATCCATTCAAGTTTTATCATGAGATTGCAGCAATTTAGTCAGACTCTGCTTCTACTTCTAGGTCTGTTGCTATTTCTACCATAACTGCAGTTACTTTTTCCCCTAAAGTCTTGAACCCCTCAAAATCATCCAGGAAAGTTGGAATCAACTTCGCCCAAGCTCCTGTTATGTCTATATTTTGACCTCCTCCCATGAATCATGAATGTTCTTACTGTCATCTAAAATAATGAATCTTTCCCAGCAGATTTTGATTTACTTTGCTCAGATCCATCAGAGAAATCACTATCAATGGTAGCTATAGCCTTACGAAATGTATTTCTTTAAGTAATAATATTTGAGAGTGGAAATTACTCCTTGATTCATGGGCTCTAGAATGGATGTCGTATTAATATTAACAGGCATGACAACAACGTTCATTTCCTTGTACACCTCCATCAGAGCTCTTGGGTGACCAGGCGCATTGTCAATAAGCAGTGATATTTTGAAAGGAATCTTTTTTTCTGAGCAATGGATCTGAACAATAGGCTTAAAATATTTAATGAACCACGCTGTAAACAGATGTGCTGTCCCCCAGGCTTTGCTGTTCCTTTTCTATAGCACAGGTACCGTAGATTTAGTATAATTCCTTAGGGTCCTAGGATTTTCAAAATGGTAGATGAGCATTGGCTTCAACTTAAAGTCACCAGCTGCATTAGCCCTTAACAAAAGAATCAGCCTGTCCTTTGAAACTTAACATCAAGGCATTGACTTCTCCTCTGTAGCTATGATAGTTGCAGATGGCATCTTCCAACATAGTCATGATAGTCACAGTAGTCATATATAGTCTATGATTGTCATAGATGGCATCTTCCAATATAAGGCTGTTTTGTCCCCATGAAAAATCTGTTGTTTAGTGTAGCCACCTCCATTCATTATCTTAGCCGAAACTTCTGGATAACTTGCTGCAGCTTCTATATCAGCACTTGCTGCTTCACCTTGTGCTTTTATATTAACAGAGACAAGTTCTTTTCTTAACCCTCATAACCCAATCTCTCCTGTCTTCTAACTTTTCTTCTGCAACTTCTTCTTCTCTCTCAGCCTTCATGGAACTGAAGAGTTGGGGCCTTGCTCTGGATTAGCCTTTGGCTTAAGATAATGCTGGGGCTGATTTGATCTTCTATCCAGATCACTAAAGCTTTCTCCATAGGAGCAATAAGGCCGTTTTGCTGTCTTCCCATTTGTGCGTTCAGTGGAGTAGCGCTTTTCATTTTCTTCAGTAACTTTCTCTTTGCACTCACAACTTGGCTGACTGGTGCAGGAGGCCTGGCTTTCAGCCTCTCTTAGCTTTTGAGCAGCCTTCCTCACCAAGCTTAGTCATCTCTAGCTTTCAAGTGAGATCTGTGCAACTCTGCTTTTCATTTGAACACTTAGAGGCCATTGTAGGACTATTGATTGGCCTAATTTCAATGTTGTTGTGTCTCAGGGAATAGGGAGGCCCCAAGAGAGGGGGAGAGATGGGAGCGTGGCCGTCCGTGGGGCATGAGAACACACACGTTTATCGATTAAGTTCGCTGTCTTATGTGGGCACAGTTCATGGCGCCCCCAACCAATTAGAATATTAAAATCAAAGATCACTGATCATAGATCACCATGACAGATATAAGGATAATGAGAAAGGTTGAAATACTGTGAGAATTACTGAAAGGTGACTCAGAGACAGGAAGTGAGCACATGCTCTTGGAAAAATGACACCCATAGACCGGCTCAGTGCAGGGTCTGCCACAAACCTTCCATTTGTAAAGAACATAATACCCACAAAGCACAATAAAGTGAAGATCAGGAAAACAAGGTATGCCTGTACCCTCAGACACAAGTGACAGAAAGAGACCCAGCTCCTCCAGGGACAGTTTCTGGGACCCACCCTGCAAATACCTCCTGGGGTAGAACCTGAGCACGCCAATTTCTTAAACTAGCAAATAGATCTTGGGTGTGCATTGTGGCTCCTGGCATTTCCCGATGTCCAGAGAGGCTGACAGCCCAGAGGAAGGAAGGGACGTCTCCATAGTCACTAAAAATCCATGTCAGCCCTGGGTTTGGGCTGGACCCAGGCCTTGAAGATCGGTGTGAGCAAACGGCACATTGCGTAGTGGGCTTCACGCCTTTTCCTTGGGCTGTGCCACGCCGTGGGACAGGAGCTGCAGAAAACAACCCAGGTGCACGCTCTTTCCCAGCCAATTGAGTGCCAAGTGACACATGGCAAAGGACAAAAGTGCTGTGAAAACAACCCACGGATGCTTTTCACCCAAAGGTCATGAAACCAAGACTGGAATAACAGAGATAATTGGTTGCAATTATAAAGTCAAGCTCAGCACTTTGGGAGGAGACTTGATTTTCTGCTCTGGAAGCAGTAGCATTTCCCTCCGCCAGGCATGGCTTCCAAAGCGTACCAAGGAAGGCAGCCTCCCCTTCTGTCCCTGAACCATCTCCTGGGCAGGTCGGCGGAGGGCGTCTCGGGAGGGGCAAGCAGGAACGTGCGCGTCGGAGAAAGTGAAAGCTGGCAGGCCAGACAGCTGTGTCCTGAAGCCTTGGGTTCGGGGACATCGGCTGAGTCCGGACCCAGGCTTCGCGCTGCCAGCTTTCCAGCTCCTTCGGGCATCGTTCGTTATCTCAGGCAGAGCTGCCGGCTTACAAGACGAAATTAAGTATAATTCACTGAGAAGAAGCAAAAACAAAGTTGCCCAGCATTTCTTTTTAAAGGGCAGGATGTGGGCGTCCATTGCAAGCGCTCGAGGTCCGGTCCAAGCAGGAGGTGACTTTTCCTTGTCAGCCCTCTGCAAACCCTCTCTGGCCGTCCTCTGCCTGTCTCCTCCAGGTCCTGTCACCTCAGTTAAGTCAGGCCACACTGAGCTGTCACCCACCCTTTCCACCCTTGCAAGTCTCGTGGACGTGGGGCTGCGGTACCACTTGCCCTTTTTAAGGGAGGAGGAACTTCCAGAGAAATATTAACCAAAATCACTTGCCCACATCTTACCATTGGTAGAGCCCGGTCAGGATGAGAAACAGGTTTGTCTGGCCCCAGATCCTGTAGTCATACCCGTTACACCAGAAGTTCTTAAACTTTTGGGTCTCAAGACTCCTTTATGCCTTTCAAGACATCTCACACTCCAAGAACTTGTGTTTATGTGGGTTCTATCTACTGATAAGTTACCACATTAAAAACTGACACTGAGAAAA